TCTCAGCTTATTATTTTACTGTACAAAAGAAAAATTTTATTAGGGCATTCCTGTTGCCTTGGAAATGGACCCTAGCTGGTTCTGTTCGACCCGGGGAAAAGCCATCGAGTGAGGAAGGAATGGGAATTGGTTCTTGTTCTGGAAAAGGATTTTCGGATAAAAAAATACATGGATTTTGGTTTTATTCGTTTAGGAGTAAGGTCTTCAAATAAGAAAGAAGAAATAAAAAATAAAAACGTTTTAAAACAAAAAAAAAAGACATTTTGTTTTTTCGATTTTGGGGGACAATTTTTGTGCGTTTTGTGCTGTGTAACAGCAGTACAGAACGCATATTGTCACCGCGTTGAGTGTGTGTGTGTGTATGTGTGCGTGTGTGTGGATTCGCAGCAACTTATCCGCAACTTTCAGCTCAGGAATCACAAAAGCTAGGAGATTGAAAATTTAGCGTAATGTTCCTAAACTCGTATGATCCCGCAAATTTAAATTCAGACTCCCCGTACCCGCGGATAACACGTACGGTGCCATAGAAGTTTTAGCGGAAAAAATTATTATCTCGAGAACTACGGAGCCTAGCAGGCTAAAATTTTATGGTAATGACTTTCTGCCCACGTATGACCTCGTAAATTCTAATTCAGTGTTCCTACACTCTCGAATATGACCTTTGGCCCCGTGAAACTTTTGGCCGGTAAATTATTATCTCGGGAGCCACGGAATCTAGGGAGCTGAAATTTTAGCTTAGCCTCTCCTGCCCACGTACGATTGCGCAAATTTTTACCACCCCCTTGAATGTTTTGATGAGGAAAAGTCGTTATCTCTCTTCTGTTGCAGGTTTGCAGTGAATTGGCGATGTGGTTGTGTTGTTTCTGAGAAGGCAATCGAAGAAGTGAAATCAGATGTATGCCACAGTTGTGGGGGTCCAGTGAATAAGGATGATCTCGTTATGCTGAATCCTCCGGAACATATCCTCCAAATTTATGAAGCAAAGCTCGAAGAGGAACGGGCGAAGAAGGCCGCAAAAACACGTAGTTCGTTTTTTTTCCGGTTATTTTTCATTTGGTAAATGTACGAAACTGAGTTTCTGTGAAGACTGTGGTCTCAAAGTGGTGAAAAGCGGCTGAGCACAGGAAATCCTGGCAAAATTAATGTTCCTGGCCGAGTTATGCCTGACGTACTGGCATACCCTCACCGCATTGCGATTCTGTGCAATCTGTCGATTCTAATTGTTGTGGGTCCTGCATTTTCTATTATTTTTAGCGGGTGAATTCATTTTTTGTGCAATTCATCTTTGATATTTACAGAATTCATTAAATCATAATGGGATTGTCTATTGAGCCACTGGCCAATTTGGCAAGCCCCAGCCATGTCTTAAACTTGGGAATAGGCGCCGCTTATCGTCATGCGGAGTCTGTTAAAAAAAAAAAAAAACACGAATTTTTTTAGGTAAAAAGCACGAATTTGGAAATCACAAAAGTTGAGAGTTGTAAAAGCCGTCTAAAGTTTCTAGCTTTTCTGGAAATGTGGGAAAAATGGCGTTTGGATGATACACCATGAGTTCTG